CAAAAATTAGGTAAAAATCTAAAATTATCTAGATTATATAGATAATTATCTACAATATCTTCTTTGTAGGTATACCCACTTTTAGATTCTGAGTAGAGTGAAGAGGCTTATGGTTTTACTAGGATGTTTTTTTTTTTTATCTATAAACAAATTTTTAATCAGAAAACTTGCTCGGATTTCTAAGTGCAGCACCTTCTCTGTGTCGGTCATTTTTTGATTTTCTCAAGAGTTTTCTCATAAAATAATGTATATGTTTTCATTTTTTTTAGGAATCCGAGATTCGCTCATCATTTTGTTGTTCTTCAAAATAACAAGGAACCTTCCTTTTTCGAATTCTTCTCGATGCTTCAAATTCAGTTCGTTTAGCGGTTTTAAATTTTTTAGCATCAACGCATCAGTTATACGCATAATATATTAATTTTTGAATGGAGTGAAGAAGCTTATGGTTTTACAAAGATGTTTATGTTATTTTTTTTCTGTGGACAACTTTTCTACCAGCAATTTTGCTCCAATTTATACCTAATGATAGCAATTTTATTTTTCTAAAAAAAAGTTTGACTGGAAAGGTACTTTAAAGTGGTCATTTTTAGATTTTTTCAAGAGTTTTCTCATAAAATTTGAAAAATCGGAATAAAAAACAGGAAAATATAAAAATGTAGGTATTAGTTTAAATTTATTACGGCCTTCTTTTTTTCTGTGCACTTGAAATAAATAATTTTTCGATTTTCTCGTGTATTTACAGTAAATGGGAAAAACGTAGGAAAACTGGGAAAATCGGTACAATAATAAATAAATATTATTAAAGAAAATATACAAAGCCTATTTAATTATTTTATTATAATATAGTATATGTATTGTTGACAAAGCATCACTATCAACTAAATTCCACTCAAAATTGTCTTTTCGTAAGCAATGGTTTATCGTTGCATACAGGTATACATTAAATTCCCGTCTGTATCCTACCTTCCCAACTTCTCACCTATATCAGTGGCTGCACCTGTCCCCATTATCTTACCTTTTTATTTTTAATACATTTACCTACATATATATTATGTATATAATAAATAAAAATTAAACTCAATGTTAATCATATTATAATAAACAATTAATATATAACAATATAATAATACATATAAGTAATAAATAATACCAATTTTAATGTGAATGTATGTGTATAAACAATTCTCTAAAAGGCCTCCCTATAATGGACGTTTTGATGTACCGTCCCATATCCTTTTTTACTAGTACATCCTTAAATGTATATTAGTTGAAAATATCTTTGTGTTAAATTGTCGTTTCGGAACTGGGTTAACCGATAGGTAAACGTAATGCGCAGCATCGGGTTTTATCGAGTTTCGATCGCTATGGTAACCACAGCATGTAATATATTATGGCTGGGGAGGTGAACGAGCGAGTATTGATCGGCGTTTGCGTCAACGGATAATACACGCATTATATGGGAAGTAGGTCAACAAAGAAAAAATGATACGGACATACTTTGCACGATGAGTGTAAGCTCGTATTTAAGGGGGGGGGACAAGTGTACCTTGTTGCCCGGGGCGGCAAATTTGTTAGTTCATTTAGGAGGTGGTAAATTTATGTTGATAAATTATTATTGTTCATTAATTTTATAGAAAAATCTTTTATGCTTACATAATTTTAATAAGGAAGGCCGAAAAAGAGATGGTTGAATAGGATTAAGAATGATACAATGACTCTAGGATGACGCACAGTTTTCTAAATCGAAAATTAGCAGGTGACAACCTATTTTTAAAAATGTCATAAATGTTTTATTAGATATCAAAGATATGTGAACAATTACCTAATTAATCAATATTTCATATTTGACATGCCGCCTTTAAGATTCTGAGTGGAGCGAAGAAGCTTATAGTTCTACAAAGATGTTTATTTTTTTTTTTTTTAACTTTACTCGACTTTTTTACCTGAAGGCTTGCTCGGATTTCTACGTGTAGCAACTATTCTGAAAGGAAATCGGCGTAGGGAGGTACTTAAAAAGGTTATTTTTCGAATTTTCTCAAGAGTATTCCTAGCAAATGTGAAAAACCGGGATAAAACATGGGAAACCCGAGAAAAACGTAGGAAAATTGAGAAAAGCGGTACAACATTAACATATATAATTAAAGAAAATATATAAAGCTTTTATAATTATTTTATTATTTTAAAATGAAATACATATTGTTGACAAAGTATTACTATCAACTGATTTCCGCTTAGAATTGTTTTTTCGTAAGCAATGGTTGATTGTTGCTTACAGGTATACATTAAATTATCTATAATAGTGGCTGCACTCGTTCCATTATCCTAGGATGTGTTTTTATCTTATGAAATCAATAAAACTATGATATCTTCACAAGAAATGTTGATAAATTGGTTATAGAGCGCTTTATTCAGACTTTTACGTTTAGTCATTTGTACAATGTAGGTACGTGTCGACATTTTAGATTCTGAGAATAGCAAGTAAAAAATGATGCGGAATAAATCTAATTTTTCAATTTTTTTTTTTTTGAACATATGTATACTGCAGATTTAAAAACGACGGAGCAATTAGAATTAAACGGACTGACTAAATTTTGAAATTATAGCTTTTTGAAGTTCTGATATTATACAGATATTATGTGTTATGGTAAATAATTCTATATTGTGTACTCTTAAGTTTGTTTCTCATAGCCGATTGTTTATACATACCTATTATCATCATAGGGGTTGCGAGTTCAAACCAGTGTATCGAAAAAATTGTTTGCTCTTATTTTTCTCCTTTTACCTAAACAGTGAAAAAACAAATGCAATTTAGGTGTACCTAGAGACCCAGCTATCGCTCGCTCGGACTATTTTAATCCACAAATACCCCTCGATTTGATGTGCAAACTTTTCAACCAGAAACCTTGCTCTGATGTATCAAGTGTAGTTTATTTCCTAAAGAAATTTTATCTCCATGGTAATTTAGGGATGTAATATTTTGATTTTTCAAGTGGTTTTCATAATATCTGTGAAAAATCGTGAAAACCTAAGAAAAAACAGGAAAATATACGAAATATATTAGTAAAATATTACGGTTAGATTTCTTTTATTATATCCCACCACACAGAATTTATCGACGGAATTAGTTTTATTTATTTTTTTCTGTTCCCCTTAGGTAGAAAACGTACGCTCAAAGAAGAAACCGCTGCTAGAGTGAAAAAGGCAAGGATGGATCAAGTGAAAACACCCGAATTTAACGAAATCGATTCGGCATTCTCCCACAAAGTTGTATAGTATTATCTCAAAAATTTTGATAATATCTACAACTACAGACAGTTTCTCCGTTCAATCAAACCCACACTTATAGACCTACTCAAAAAAATTGTACAAGAAAACCCGATGAAATTTAATTTAAAACTAGAGTCGACGTACTATAAACCACAAGTAGATAATTCCGCCGTAAATAGAGCGTTCAAAACCTCAGCCAGGCCGATTTTCCCCGATAATGATATAGAAGACATAGTAGAACAAGTTCGTTAAATTACTTTCCGAACAGGATGTTTATCAGGGACGAGGAAGTAGATTCTCCCTACAAACGATAGACGGTTTATTATTAGGGATATACAAATTCCAGCCGATGGGCGATTCGTCATATATTCTGCTACCTACCGACATCACAAACAAACGGGTTGTCATCAAGCAACAGAACATGGACGAAGAGTGTTTTAAATGGGTGATTCTAACGAAATAGGTAATGGGGTACCATAATAATTACTAAGTAAACGAAAAATATGTGGAACAGGAGAATAAATATAATTTTAGCGGAATATCTTTCCCGATATCGCTAACGGAAATAAAAAAATTCAAGAAAAATAATTTGAACGTGTCGATAAATATTTACAGGTTAAAGAAATAAGAAAAAAATTTTAAAAAAACAGTACATACCATGTTTCCACTTAAGGTAGTCGACGAGGAGAAAACTGACCATTTCGACCTACTGATGATAAACAACGAAGAAAAAACACATTATATCTGTATCTCAAATTTTTCCCGTCTAATACGTTCGCAAGAAACTGCACATAAGGATCGAGCTGTATTCTGTAAACGTTGTTTCACATCGTTCGATAACAGACCGAGGATAAATTTGAGTGAGCAGGCAACACTCGACCAACACAAACAAATTTGTGGCGAACACAAACCGATAGTACCTGCTTAACCCGGATTGACATTAAAATTCAAAGCGTGGGGAAAAACTCAAAGGCACCCTATCGTCATATATGCTGATTTCGAGGCGATTTTGGAGAAGACGGACGAGAAGAAAAGACAAAATACAACTATTATATTACATTATATTATTATATAAAAAAATCATAAACCGATGTCGTACGGGATTTATGTGAAGGTGGAAGAAAACATACCTAAAGAGTTGCTGGAAGAATTCGATAACCTACAAAGCCGATTATATACAGAGGAACAGAAGACGAACCAGAAGTAGCGAAACATTTATGGAACAAATAGTAGACATAAGCAAGAAAGTAGAAAAATTATTGAAGACGAATAAATCGATTATCATAACTGCAGAGGAGGTACATAGATATGTCACGTGTGTCAACATTGTAATTTGTGTAACGACGGTTTTTCAAACCCGAAAGTCGCCGACCACAACCACCTGAACTCAAATACAAAAAATCGTTAATTCCGGCATATCTTCAACATTAAAAGTATATTATTCGTATACTAAATCGGATATTACTTCCCATTATAATGCTTCTTGGGATAGTGATTTCAAAAATGCTAATACAAATTTTATTGAAAGTTCGTCGTTTAACGGGTGTATTAATCTAACAGATTTGTTTGGTTTTTGTGAAAATTGTAAACGGATTCTAATAAACTGTAACAAACAACTCGTGTTAAATAGAGTTTCGTTGGATATAAACGCAGTTAAGTTTCCCGATAATAATGCAATAGATATCCCTAAATTAAAGAACGTCAAAATCAATATTTCTAAAATAGTATGGAGAATGCCTATGGTGCGAGTTAGCATTAAAGAAAAAATTAGATTGATGAAAATAATTAACAGTCAGAAACCCATTCCTTGCACGTTAAGATCGCGGGAGTTGTGCGAGTACTCATTTTTGCCTCAAAACACAACTCATTCGTGGAAAATGAAAACGACAAACATATTAGAAAAACCTCGATATGTTACAATTAGATTTCAAACAGACAGAAAAAATAACGAAACTAAACCGATGCCATGCTTTGACCACTGCAAAATTAAAAACCTGAAGGTTTATTTAAATTCCGCCGTATTTCCATACGAAGACTTTCAAAATGATTTCACTAAGAATATTATGGCTACAGGGCTACCCGGCGTATACAGAGTTCCAGATAATATTGTATAGGTACTTATAATTAGGATATAGACGATAAGGGTGTACGGGATAGTGCGTGGTTATACAATGGGGATGATAACGCGCGCGAAGACACAATTATATAACGACCTTTGTACCGGCAGCCGTTGACATTCTGAGAAATATGATATGCGTTGGCCGACGGTCGCCTAATAGGCGGGTGGGGAAAAACAAGCTCTTGCAGGGATGTACAGACCGTCGATGTTGCTAATAACCATTTCGTTTCTGTAATAATGAGCATAATAATATTTTGTTGTATAGGTGATATTTAGCAGTGGGTATGGATATAGTGTCGGCAGGGTAAGGCGAGCGCGAGCTCGTTAATAATAATATTATTTACACTAATGATTGCTAATAGTATGTTATGTAATAATTTATACTAACGTGATCACAGAATATAAACCATAGAATAATAATGTTAGAAAAAAAAAAAAATTGTATTGAAATATATTCATGGGAGTGTTTGTTGGCGGGGTAATTCGAGCGCGCGCACGCGGAAACGAAAAATCACATAATACTTACAAAATAATATATACAATAATGATAACGAGTAGGTACTATAGAACTGTATATATATATATATATATATATGTACATGTTACGGGTAAAGTGCAAAATATGGTTAGTGTTCACATTATCCGAGTAATGTGTACACTACCTGTACCTATTGGATAAAGTAAAAATACTATTTATAAAACGTTTATTTCGTACATTACTCGGGTATTTTACACATTATCTACGACTGAGTGGGTAAAGTACTATGATCAAATTTATACGATAAAATAACTATTATAGATAAATGTTTATGAAGAAACACACGGAATAATATTTAGTGCAGTGCTAGTTCGTCTTGATACACGCGTCATACAAATAATAGGTTTTTAAAATGACTTCCTCCGAAAAATTTTACGAGTGTTTTTATAAAATAGTCAATGAAAAAAATAATAATTCAGTTTATTTATCGGCAGTTAAGTATAACGAAATAGTTTCGGAAATTAAAAATGTGAGATCAAATGGAATAAAAAGTAACAAGGCATATCATATTTTGAAAAAGGTACGACCTCATTACTATTGGAGAAGAAGATAAATTAATATTGCCGTTGTTGAAGGTAATACAAATATTTTGTACTATATTACTAATGAAAATATCTATGATGTGCTACACGATGTCCATTTGAGTATTGAGCACGGTGGAAAACACCGCATGAATGCTGAAGTTAAAAAAAAGTATAAAAATATAACACAAGAAGCTGTGTCTATTTACTTAAAATTTTGCGAATCTTGTAAATCTAAACAAAAATTTAAAAACAAAGGTCTAGTGATTAAACCAATGGTGTTTTCGGAAATGAATAGTAGGTGCCAAATGGACCTGATCGATATGCAGTCGCAGGGGGCTGGAGAGTTCCGGTTTATTATGGTATATCACGATCACCTTACTGAATTCGTTCAACTAAGACCCTTAAAAACAAAGAGAGCAGAAGAAGTTGCAAAACATCTTATTGACATATTTTGTTTTTTCGGAGCTCCGATGACATTACAATCTGACACTGGCCGCGAGTTTGTAAATGAAATAATAGAAGACTTAAAAGAAATGTGGGACACACTGAAAATCGTTCACGGAAAGCCACGCCACAGTCCACAAGTCCACAGTCACAAGGGAGTGTCGAGAGAGCAAACCAAGACATACAAAATATGTTGATAACATGGATGAAAACAATGCGTTGTTCATGTTGTACCGACGTTATAAGTTTACGATTATAGTTATACGAATACTTTATCCACAACACACCGGATAATGTATTAATTGATTGGATACTATATATTTAAGGTATATAATATATACATTACACTGTTCATATGGATGAGGTTCACATTACCCGGGTAGTATGTACACTAAACGTTTTTGTACTTTACCCATAACATATATATGTCATCAGCTGTTATCGCGGGTCGGACGTTATAGGTATACATTTTGGGAGGACTCGTATTAGAGAGTTATGCACGTTAGTTATCGTACATATTATCAATGGTCGCAAGAGTCGGAGTGGGTAAAGGTGTATGATAACGAAATAGGTATAGATAAGTCGAGTAAATATTCGATAATGTGAACAAAATATTCGGATAAAGTGGGCGTGTTTAAAATAGGTCGGGTACGTGGTACGTGTAGAAAAAGAAATATTTTGGAAAAAGGGATTGGGGGATAATATATGTCGATGAAAAGGTGGACAATTCGGGTTACCATGTTAAAGTATAGCACCTGGACTCCTGGCATCTGGGCTCCTTATTCCTAAATGTGCGGTCATGTATTAAGTATAGAAACTGGGCATCTTGCACCTGCACCTGCGCCTAAGGAAGAATCCCTTTTTTCTTACTAACAACTTTACAATTGTACAGGTATTAAGTCATATATCTAGATTAATAATAACTGTATTACTATTGTGGTTTATCCGCAAAACAATATCGGCATTACCAACATTCACCAAAATCATTTTTCGACTGACTTTGGTGTATGTCGACATTAACCGGTGACTGTCAGCATTTACCAACTGCGGACATTCACGGTAACATATACATAAGTATTAGGTACACGACACTAGGACACGGTTTTAGATATATTAGAATTCGAGTGGACGGTTTGAGTATACTCGAGTTGCTCCAGAAAACACCTGGAAACAATTCTAATGAAAAAAGATCTCCTACTTGAATTTGGGAAGCAATTCGAGAGTATCCGCACTATTATATTAGTTAAAATGTAATGGTTATTAATTTATAGAAGATAAATTACGATTCAGAACTCTGTGCGGGGGCTGTATGAGAGGACGATATGAGAATCGGATAGTGGAGTTTAGAACAGAGATGGCGACTCCAAATAGTTGGGATAAAGACGAACAAGAAGAGGATTATAAGTAGATAATCTATGTAAAATATTACTCGTTTTATCTTTGTGTTGGAACACGGTTCACCCGATGTTCGTAACGCGCAACATCGGGTTTTATTGATTTTCAATCGCTATGACAACGGTAGCATAATATTATGAGGGGGTGAGTGAGAGTATTGATCGGCGTTCGCGTCGACATTTGATTGGTGGCTGACGCATTATATGGGAAGTAGGTCAAAAAAGACGTCCTAGGATAATGGGGACGGGTGCAGTCACTATAATAGATAATTTAATGTATACCTGTAAGCAATGATAAACCATTGGTTACGAAAAAACGATTCTGAGCGGAGTTCAGTTGATAGTGATGCTTTAGTATATATGCCTTAATATATATGTAATTTTATAGTAAAATAATTAAATAGGTTTTATATATTTTCTTTAATAATATTTATTTACTGTTGTACCGATTTTCTAGTTTTTCTAAGTTTATCCCGGTTTTTCACATTTGCTGGGAAAACTCTTGGGAAAATAAAAAAATGACCTCTCGAAAGTACCTCCCTAGTGAAATTTCTTTTCAGAAACATTGATATCATTAAAAATTGGAGTAAAATTGCTGATAGAAAAGTTGTGTACAGGAAAACAAATAGTAATATTTTAGTAATATATTTTTTACATTTTCTCGTTTCTTTTCGGGTTTTCAAATTTTATGAGAAAATTCTTGAGAAAATCGAAAAATCGCCTGTTTCAGGTACCTCCATACACCGATTTCCTTTCAGAAAAAGTGCTACACTTAGAAATCCGAGCAGGTCTTCTGGTAGAAAAGTTGTTAACAGATAAAAAAAAATCTTTGTAAAACTATAAGCTTCTTGGCTCCACTTAGAATTTAAAAGAAAATAACTGATCGTCGAATACGGATATTTTTGCACTTTTACTGAATACATGAGATATACACAGTCAAGGTTTACTGACTTAGTGTTCTTAGAATATCGTTTTAAATTCGTATTATAAAAAAGACCTATTTCACTGACTACTGTTAAGGCTATAAATCGAACCTAACGTAATTGAAATACAGAAAAATAAACAAAAAAGTACACGTCAATTCAGCTCTCTGTTCTGAATAATCTAACATTACATTATTTTTTTAATTAAAATTGGGGATTGTTTTTTAAAATTCCAGTTGAAATTGCCTACATTAGACGCCAAAATTGGGTGTTCCACGGCGTGGCGTCGTGAATAATAATCACAATACGATTTAAATCGCTATGGTATTAAACAAATATAATATTATACCATCATTATGCATTGAAAATATTTATTTATTTTCTAATATGCCGCTGCTGTAGGCCACTATCCACTATTGTAAGTCATGGATTTACACGAGTTGAACATAACTATATTTTTATACTGGATTGCCGTTTCCGAATTCGGTTCACATGATAGTCAGAAGGCGCAGCATCGAGTTTTATCGAGGTTCAATCGCTACGGCAACGGCAGCACATAATAGAGAAGAGGGATGGGGGATGAACAAGAGTATTGATCGGCGCTTTCGTCGACGGACGATACGTATGGGAGGTCAAAAAAAATTACGGACATACTTCGCACGATAGGTGCAGCCACTGTTGTTAGTGAGAAGTTGGTAATGTTGAATATAGAGGGGAAATTAATTCGTAACAATGAACCATTGCTGCTTACTAAAAACGATTCTGAATGGAGTTCAGTTTATAGTGATGTTTTGTCAACAATATTATATATGTCATATCATGGTAAAATAAAACAAATAGGCTTTATATATTTAAATATATAAATAAATAAATAAATAATTTAATGAATGCGTCGTACGTCGCCTGGAGTATTATAGAATGTATATTGTACGACCGGTTTCGAATTAAAAATGCATCGTTTGGTAAAATCACAAAGCCAAAATGTAAAACTCGACTGAATATGAAAAAAAAATGAAGGAATACATATAGCGAAAAAATTATACAAATATAGTATAAAATCTATTTTACATAGAAATAATTAATTTTAATAATTTATTATTAGAGATTATTTAAAATGAATTATTATTAGACATAGATATGTTAAAAAATATAAATTGTTTGATTATTATATATTATCTAAAATGTATTGATATAAGATTTTTTTTTTTTAATTTTACCAAAAAACATCCCGAAGGTTTACATGACCCACCATAAAGTAAAGTATATTTAAATACATAATTAATATGAGTCTAATTTTTTTTTTCCAATTTGCGTTGTCTATAAATAAAAGTTAAATAATTTGTAGACAACTTTCGTTAAAAATTTTTTCGAAAAAAAAAAATTTGTATTTTAATAATATATTTTATACATTTTTCGGTTTTTTCTCCGTTTTTCACGATTTTTCTCATTTATTAGGAAATCTCTTGGAAAAATCAAAAATTTATCGCCTTAAAGTACCTTCCCATTCAGATTAATTTTCAGAAAAAGTGCTATCATTTTAAATCGAAAAAAAATTGCTGGTAGAAAAGTTTGCACAACAAATCGAGGGGTATTTTGCAATTTAAATAATCCGAGCAAGCGATAGCTTGGGTCTCTAGGTACACAAAGTGTATTTGTTTTTTCCTTGTTTAGGTTAAAAGGGAAAAAAATGCAAACAATTTTTTTTCGAAACACTGGTTTTAACTTAAAACCTCTAGGATGATAATAGACATAATTAATCATTAGACCACGACAAATATGCTTGAAAAGGTACATTATAGAGTTATTTAACATAAAATGTAATATCAGAACTTCAAAAAGCTATAATTTCGAAACTTAGTCGGTCCGCTTAATTCTGGCTTTTCCATCGTTTTTAAATTGGCAATATACATATGTTCAAAAAAAAAATTGATAAATTAGATTTGTTTCGCATAATGTTTTACTCAAACGGCTTTCGTCAAAATTTGATATTAAAATTCCATTATAACAAAAAAAATACTACTTTAAATTCAATTTTTATTTTTGACTACAAATTAAGACTCTTAATGAACCTCCTGTTACATTTTTAAGTATTTCTGTTCAAGTCTAACAATTTTATTACCGAGTAACTATCGAATAAAAATTACGTACAAAACTCGTAAAATTAAAATGTTTATAAATAATTAAAAAATAGCTTTCATTTTTTGAAAATTTTACCACGTCTAAAAGAGACATATAGTCAAGTCTCTAAGAACATTTTTCACTGAATAACAACAAATAATAAAATTTAAAAATAATAAAAGTATTATTTTCGTACATTTCCCGTTTTTCTTACGTTTTATCGTGGTTTTTCTCAGATATTATGAAAATCGTGTGGAAAATCAAAAAATGACCTCGTTAAAGTACTATCTGGACAACATTCACTTTCAAAAATGATGCAGCACGTATATATCTGAGTAAGATTTTTGGTAGAATTTTTGTACACAAAAATAAAAAGTAAAAGAATAAACATTTTAGTTAAACTATTACATTCTTTGCTATTCTCGGAATCTAAAAATAAATTGAAAATAATAAAAGAATAATTATTTTCGTACATTTTCCCGTACTTTCTGCATTTTGTCGGTTTTGCTCAATAATTAAAAATCTACAAATAATATCAAAAAACGACCTTCTTGCTCACCAATGAAACAATATGAAAATCGTAAGAAAATCTGATTAATATTAAACAAATATTATCAAAGAAAATATATATTGCCTATTAAATTATTTTATCATAATATAACCTACATATTTTGACAAAGCGTCACCCTCAACTGAACTCCTCTCAGAATCGTTTTTTCGTTGTAAATGTTTTATCGTTACTTAAAGCTATATATTCAATTGGCTATAACTGTAGCTACACTTGACCCTGTCCTAGAACAACATTTTCTTCTTGCAAGTATGCGAGAAATACCCACTCAAAAAAAGAAATATAGGTATATTTTCCTTGAAATATTATTTAATTTCTTATTATAAATAAAAAAAAACCTATATCACTGTTAAAGCACACTGATTATTTTTATGAATGTTAGTCGAACCTAACCTGATCAGAATACTGAAAAACTGAACGAAAAACACATATAAATTATTCCTCTCTCTCTGTTCATTACATTATATTATCAATTAAAACCACTGAACTATAATATACTAGCGGTTGTTAGAAATACAGTTTAAATTGCCTATACCCAACGCCTTAAATTGGATGTTCCATGGCGATGTCTTTAAATACAATTTAAATGGAAATGTATTGTATAATGTATAGGTAAGTCATAAGTATAAATGCTTACTAAACAAATGTAATATTATCATATAATTATCATAAATATTGTTTTATTTTTTAATACGCCCCTACTGTAGGCTAATAACCACTATTGTAGGTAATAAATTTACATGAGTTGAAAATAGTAATATCTTAGTGTTAGATTACCGTTTCGGAACGCGGTTCACCCGATAATCAGAACGCGCAGCATCGGGTTTTATCAAATTTCAATCGCTATGGCAACGACAGTACGTATAATAGGAGAGGGGGAGGAGGAAAGCAAAAGTATTGATCAGCGTATGCGTCGACGGATATTATGCGCGTTTTTATGGGAGGTGAAAATAAATAAATACGGACATATGTACTTCTCACAATAGGGGGGGGGGCAGTGTTGTAGGTGATTAGTTGGTAAGGTAGCGGGGAAATTTTATGTATATTTGTACGTAACGATTAACCATTGCTAAGGAAATCGATTCTGAAAAATTGATGGAAACAATGACTATATGTATTAGGTATTATAATTTATAACATAAAGTCCCATTGGTTTTTACAGACGGGAAAATGTATACCTACAATTGCACGTTGCCTAGCAATCTGTGTATAATATTATTATATTTGTATTATTCTCTTGTAATTCTCTTATTCGTTATCTCTTATTACGTTTCCGGACTTGTCCTGATGAAATTTTAATTCAGAATAATGCGAAGTCGGTATAACGAAAACGACTATGTGGTGATTATATGTGGTAATAATACATGGAGATATTCAATTTAAACAAAATATAACGCACATGTAATTATTTTACAGGATTAACAAAATCTGATATAATTTGAAGATAAGGAGTTAATGCAGCCTCTATTGTAGGTAATTTAATGTATACCTGTAAGCTACGATAAACCATTGCTTGCGAAAAAACGATTCTGAACCAGTTGATAGTGATGCTTTGTCAACAATATTTATGCCATATTATAGTGAAATAATTAAATAAGCTTTCTATGTTTTCTTTAATAATATTTGTTTTATGTTGTACCGATTTCCCTGGTTTTCCTATGTTTTTCAGTTTTTGCTCCGTTTTTTTTTTCGGTTTTTCAAATTTATCGAAAATCGAAAAATGACCTCCTTAAAGTACTTCCTCACACCAATTTCCTTTCAAAAGAGGTACTATACATAAAAATCGAAGCAAGATATCTGGTAGAAAATTATTTGTCCACGGAACGAAAAAAAAAAAGGTTGTGGTTTTGCAAAACCATAAGCTTTTTCGCTCCACTCAGAATCTAAGATAAAATCTTATCTTGCACCGGCAGTTATATCTATTTATACCTACTGATACCTATTAGTAGTAAACCAAAAAGTAATTTTAAGTCGATAAATAATGCTATTATAATTATTATTTAGTGACGGTTGGAACACAAACTAAATGGTGAATGGTGAATTATGACATCAGTTTCTCACAATGAGTGACTCACACTCAAAATTAAATTGAGACGGAAAGTTGAATGACTAGTATATCACTCATCCTAAATTTTAATTTAATTTTTCATTTAATTAATAATTTATGCAACAGATTTTTTTTAGAATTTCTATAGCATACGTACAGATACTTTTTAGGTCACCGCCAACGCCCACCTAAAATTCCAGGGTAGCATCTACTATCACAGACCCTCTAGAGTGCGCCCATGGGCCACACACTAAATCAATAATACGGCGGTCCCGGGGATTTACCCCGCTAGCATCCCAATCAACCCGCCTGTACAGCTTACGGTCGCGTCCTTTGTTCGTACGGGCGTGACAGCAAGGCGCACGCGTAGTACACATGCCCGACGATAGCTCGGGAATCTGCGCAGTCCCTGCGGTTTGCCACCGCCAATGATCTTTACAAGCCGCAATCGCAATCGTCGTCCTGTGTTCGTAGCGTCTTGTCCAGCGTTCCACATAGTGTGTCCCGTGCGTCGTTCGTCTCGCTCACGAGTGCATAAGAACACATACTAACAATACGCCCGTTAAGTTATTATTATGGTAATCGCGGTTACGCTTGTATCATCGTAAATACCGTGTAGTATTGCATAATCGGTGTCGTAGGCGTAGTGACCGGACTCAGTTGTAGTGATCGGGCGTGGCGGTGAGTACCTACTACAATTAATTAGCTGCGGCCGCGGCGGTAAGTTTCTCACGCGAAAACAAACCGAAACCAAACGCCGTTTATTGCGATAACCACACCGTCGCACATCGTGTCTGTCGTTCTCGAGACGACATACCAGATTCATTCCAACAACAGTTCACGAAAAAGCATAAAAATTCTCGCGATAATATTATTCATCATGCTTGTGTGGGTGGGGCAAATGATATTGTTTATGCTGGCGATTGATTATAATAGGACAACAGGCGATCTCGAACAGCGAAACCGAGAATTTATTAATCGTCTTCAAATTCGACGGGCACAATTTATGGAACGATTTGACATCTCATTTGATGATTATTGAACATCTCAATACAGTATACGAAAACATCGCCAATATAGGATCCCGATGACAGTGGTAAAGACGGTCACTTGCAGGCTAACACCGCGCATCTAGACCGAAGAGTGTACCATAATAACAAGTGTTACGTCTGCGAATCCCACGCCGATATTGCAAAACGACGAACGCGTACACGACCTGGTTTAGTATTACGAAACCCGTTCGTTCAGCAGCCGTTCTTCGCGTTGGCATCACTCGCGTAGGACCTTATTTTTCGGGTGAGTGGGCTCGGCTTGTGTACTCGTATAATTGTGCGAGTGTTCTGTGCACGTCGGTCGACTGTAAACGATAGTGCACTGCAATCATTCCGTTGGCGGACACATTCGAGACAACGCCACAGCTACGGTCGGCAGCCCGATAACAGTGATCAGCGTTATAAGCGGCACTTGCAACTTTGACGTCACGTGCCGCTAACATGGCCCGCAACCGCAATCTCTCTATTAGCAGGCCCGTTAGCCTGTTCGTCAAGTACTCTGTCGTATTTGCCATTTTCGGACTGCTCGCCAATACCGCGTGCCCGGCCACCTTCGCCGCCGCTGTCACTGCGACCGGCTCCAGATCCAAGAGACAATTGCCGCCGCTAGAACAGGGAAACCAAGTGATCGACGACATATTTCAGGTAATAAGGATAGGCAAGGTACACAGGCTAGCATATATTTATTATATGCACGCGTATGTGTGCATATCGGGTCTGTGTTATTTACATTCGAAACAGTGTTCTTTAGTGGTAATATAAGGGAAGGATCGAAACTAAAGAGGAAGCTATCCCAAACTTACTTGAGTAGGTCAAATGGACTGTTTTTGATCCGGCCAATTAGACTTGCCCGCCTCCTAACATTGATTTCTCTACGTCTCTGTTGTATCCCTGTTCCAAGGAACTGCTATTTGACTCGAGCTCGAATTTTAACCCAATTATGTATTTAAATGTTTATTAGTTATTTTCTAATCTCGTCGAAAACGAGGAGCAGAGGCCACGGCCTTAGCTGCAAGATTTTCCGCCCCTTGTAATATCTTCTGTCAAAGTATTTATCACATTTTTTTTTTTAAATTGACATTAAAAATTAGTGATCTTATCAATTATAATATATATTTATATTAACTGCATATTTTTGCAGATAGAGTAGGTTTCGTATTGTCTATCAACTAATGTAATAACGGTTTAATATATATGTTAAGGGCAAAGTAAGAAGTCGGGTGTTGTGTACAACGCTTAATTTTCGAAGGCATAATTGGAACAGGTTTACATTGTCTGGGCATTGTGGATTATAAATTTAAAATATAAAAAATAAAATAAAACATTTTACTAGGTACTTTAATAAACATAAAACTTGCAATAGACTACTCAAATAATTGATGTCTATTAATAGTTTAAAAACTATTATCCATTGAATTATTTAATTATTAATAAAATTTAATGTAATTTCATAGTATTATATTATTTTTTATTTATTATAACATACATTAAAATATTGAATTAAATTAATAATAATAAAAATTAGACATTTATTCCTAAACTAAATAGGTATTTCGTGATTCATGATATTAAACGATTAAAATGGGTAAGTAGGTATAGGTAATTGTTACCATTAATGTTACCAAATTGTTACACATAAATTTCATTCGATGAAAATGTGCCCACTTATTTTCGGGCATTATACGAGAGTAGGCAAAATTGGAGTATTAAACAAATTGCACAAATTTTTCGGGCATTGTAGCACAATGCCCGGATTTTCTACTTTGTCTGTTACATATATACTTCCATAACATTGCGTGAGAATTAATTTCAAATATAATACCTCCTCTCAAAGCCATAGCTGGGAAAACAATTTGGGAGTACAGACTCCTAGACCCCCTTCCTCATCCATGACGTTGTCACTCCTGCCAAGAGTCGCTTCACACCTAAACTCTGAGGATGAGTACAAGGACAAAAATATCCTTATTCGACAATCAGTTATTTTATTTTTTGACCTACTTCCCATATAATGTGCCAGCCGCCAATCAACCGTCGACGCGGACGCCGATCAATACTCTAACTCATGTCCCCATAATATATTATGCTACCGTTGCCATAACGATTGAAACTCGATAAAATCCGATGTTTCACGTTACGACTATCGGGTAACTATCGGGACTATCGATAATCCAACATTAAGATAATAATATTTTCAACTCATGTAAATCCATTGCCTATAATAATGGCTAGCCGCCTACAGCAGCGGCGCATTAGAAAATAAAATAATATTTGTTATAATCATATTATGATAATATTATATTTGTTTATTGAGTATTTATATTTATATTATGTGCAACGTCTTTTCGATTTAAATTGTATTAGAATTAATTTTAAGGACGCCGTGTAACGTCCGATTTAAGGCGTCAGGTGTAGGCAATTTCAACTGTATTTCAAACAGCCGCCCATTGCTCCAGTTTTAAGTGATAAAATAATGTAATGTTAGATTATTCTGAAAGTGATTATTCCTTACAGAATAATTTATGTGCGTTTTTCATTCAGTATTTCAGTATCAGGCTAAGTTCGACCGATGGGCATAACAGTAGTTAATGTGCTTTAACAGTGGCATACGTTTTTGTTTTATAATACGAACTTAATCATATTTAAAGAACAGTAAACCTTGACTGTTTGTGTATTTCTCGTATACTTACAAAGAGAAAAATATTCGTATTTCACTTTCAGTTTATTTTTTTTTTCTGTCCCCATATAAAGAACCTGTCGTCTGTTAACGCAAATGCTGATCAATACCTTCGCTCATCCCCCCTCTCTATTATATACGCTGTCGCTGCCATAGCGATTGAAACTCGAACAAACCCGATGCTGCGCGCTCCGACTATCGGGTAAACTTAGTTCCGAAACGGCAATCCAACACAAAGATATAAATATTTTCAACTCATGGTTTAATCACCAATTTTTTACAATAGTGGTTAGTAGCCTATAACAACATTTTTATATTCTCCTTTATCCTCTCTTTATATTCTTCTCCTACGCCTTTATCTCAACTATTTTTATTCAATCACCTCTCCCCTCCTCCTAAACTTCCACTATCCGATCCACCACATCGTCCTTATATACAACCGCCGTCCTTATATCATTCTTTTATTATTTCTATTATTATTTTTTTTTTATTATTGCATACGAAAAACGATTCTGAGTCTAGTTCGATTAATAAAAAGCAAGAAAAATTTTAAAATAAAGTGAAATATTCCATGTCCATGACTCTAAATTTAAATTATAAAAAGTTTTTCATGCGTAATACTATTTCGTGTGAAACTATCCTGAAATATTTTAAAATTTAAGTTTCTTATTTTTTCATAATCCTTTTTTAATTTTATCGATTACAGTGCTATAATATAGTATGGACGCAAAAAATAAACCACTTGATATATAATTTCAAATATTATATTAATTATATAAAAGAATTGTTCTTATATAAGTAATATTTAAAGTTTATCGAGAATAAAAGTCAAATTCAACTTTTTCTCTTCGTCTTTTAAAAAAAACTGAATAAATAAATAGAAGATTATTGAAATAAGATAGTTTTTACTTTAATATATTTTTTTATAATAAAAAAACAAATTGCCTATTTTAATTTTCTTTGCCGTTTCCATGTTTATAACACTCACACTAAATGCAGTTTTGCGCAACCACACACCGAAATAATGTGTAAACTAGATTGCCTAAATCTTACTCCTTAATAAGCGGCCAAATGTCTGATTAATATTAAAAATAAAAATGGAATTTGCAGAAATTAGAATTTTAAGACGGATGAAACAGTCGAGAAGATAAATGATATAAGTGTATAAATAGAAAACGAAGACGATGTAGGTCAAGGTTTATAGAGATTATTAATGGGAAGTATAATGAGAGAATTCATGAAAATGAAGATGGTAGGGTGGAGAAAAGGAAAAAGTGTAACTGATCAAATCCATATACGTATAGAAGAAAATATTACTTTCTATCGATTTTTTTTAAACAGTTTTCACCACGAGTGATGGAATATCCAAGGTTGATTTCGAGTCTAGAGTTTCACTTCAGTGATGATCCTTAAAAAGTCATAGATTCTGTGTAGATTATTATTCATATGGCATGGTTACACTATATGTTATTAATATTAAGATAATAGAAAAAAAGAATTTAAAAATATAGCAACAATATGCCAGCGCACCCTCAATCAATTCTAGCTATCAATTATTTGCTATACAACATAATAAGAATATCACTAATGCACCATTAACTTTGACTAACAATAATTTATTACTTCATTTTATGTCGAAATTCACTAAACTGATAATGACTTTTAGCTTTATCTCGATTTCTAAGATTGGCCGATAGTTAAATTATGAAATTATTAAGAACAAAGTATTTTAAGTGGGAAATTCACTTTAGAGGCCTCTTGTCAATCAAAACAAAATTATTTTGTACACTATAGACAATGCAATGAAAAACAAAATAGTCAAATCATCGTTTGAGCAAGAAGCTGACGTTATAATACAATAATAATAATAATAATAATATGTTCATAGATCCCGATCAGCACCCTGAACGCCGTCGGATCGTTGATCAAGAGCACCCGGCCGTTGGTTCGTAGGACTCGCGAACGCATCCAACAGTACTACAACGGTGCCCAACAGCAGCCTTTACAATTCCAACAGCAGCAGCAACAGTCTCTCTATTCGTATAGTAATAGTAAGCCCAGGCCGGTACAGCAGTATTCTCCGACCACTTCACAGAACTCATACTTTTACGGCAACAGCAACAGATGGAAGCAACGACGAGAGGATCCACTGCCCCAAGGTCGGAAACACAGCCACGTATCAGATGACTATTAAAACATTTAAAACCATGGCCGTAGTATTATTATAGGTATTGGTATCGTAGTATAGTAAGAAATTAGTCTATGACCTATAATTATTAATGTACAGCTAATTATACAGTTATATTATGACGTTCTCAGTTTTCTGAGTACGAGTACCCAGTATTATATATTACTCTGGTTGGACGTATCGAAAATATTTCGATATTAAATTTCAGCTTAAGATATAGGTATTTTGATAAATTAGAACATAAATTTGTATGCATTAAAAAGTATTTAAAAAATGATAAAAATAAGCAATTAAATACATAAGGGTTAGGCCATAGATAAAAAACAATGATACAGAAATAAACAATTACAAATCTTTAAATAATAAAGCCAGCCTCACGGGTGAAGGAAATAATAAGAAGAATAACAGACTTGGGATTTGATTTTAAAATGTTGGAGATGTTAAAAGGAATGTTGAGGAACATAATAGAACTAAAAAGAAAAAGGCGTTGAATAAAAATGGACAATCCAAAAGAATATTGTGTAAGTCACAAATGCTTCAATCTAAATGGAGTGTGTAGAAAAAGGAATCGTTAAGATTGACCTTATAAGAATGGAAGGGAAGAAGATAATGGCGCACATGTAGTCGATTAAATTTGATAATTTAAGATCTTGATAAGTTAAGATCCTTAAACCAAATATTATTTAAAATGACGGGGACTATGGATTTGAATTTAGAGTTAAAGGTTACAGGTAGTCTGTTCCAATGGGTAGACTAGAGTGTAAGAACATACCATTGAAAAATATGTATAAGATCTGACCAGGGGATCAAAGAAAGGGATGGGTTTAATAAGTTCGACGAGGATTTGGCCAAGCTATCAGCTATCTCGTTACCGTGGATACCTACGTGGCTAAGAACCCAGAGAGACTGAATAATAACATTTTTTTGATAAAGTTAAAACAGGATGGATTTGATTTGAAGAACAAGAGGAGATCCATGAGATTTAAAGGGGAGCGAAGTTAGAGACTGAAGACAAGACATAGAATCAGATACGATTAAAAATTATTTAGTGGAAAGGATTAACGTGAGCGCTTCGATAATAGCGGTAAATTATTTATTATTAAAAATATTAATTTATTATTTTTTAAAAATTAAATATTAATATAAACTGGATGTTGGTACATTATCGTACCTTAACACATTTTGTCAGTGATGGTGCATAATATTCATTAAAGTATTCAATATATATATATATACATAATATGCAATTATGGTCAAATTTACTAAAATAAAACTTTCTAATATTAGTATTGTTTAGTAAACATTATTATAATTTGAAATAAAATGAAAAATATACAATTAATAAAATACAAATTCATGTTCTAATTTATAAAAATTATTATGTTGTCACTATATAATTGACTATATAATGATATAATTGTTACTCTATTTTAGAGTTTTCGGTGTATAAATACCTATAAAGGTGTAGAGTTGGATTACGTTGGTTAGGTTAACTTAAGTTTAATTTTAAGCATTTTGGTTTTGATAAGAAATAATATAATAATATCCCACTGCACTTAACAAAAAAAAAAAAGTAGGTACAACGATAAAATAAACATATTATTATGGTGAGTCGGTTATTATATTGTTATTACATATTGTGTGATTGTAGTGATGAATACGAAATTCCGTTCGTTATTAGTGAGAAAAATAATACAAATGCTAGTAGGCTACAAGTCTTCTGCTCTAATAATCACTAAATATATTATTAATTAGGTACTTACATTATTAAATTATTATTTTATTATACAGGTAAAAGATGTAAATGAGTTAGTATAGGTTGATTTAAAAACTAAAAGTTTAAGTTTAGTTTAATAAGTTAAATTTAAGTTTAACAATTTTAGATTAAGTAAAAATTAATATAAAACATTTTTAAAAAAAATGAAAATAAAACACAGAGATAAAATTAATTCATTATTATGGTATAGGTACATTGGCTAACTAACTTAAGTTTAACTACTTAAGTTAAGTTTAATTTTAAGAATTATTAATTTTGGTAATATAATACATATATATTTTAAAAGCAAAATATTGGTCGATTTTGATTTGAAACACTAAATTTTAACTGATATCACACAACATAAATAATACTTAAGTCCTTATCATATTCACATGTATTATACCTACCTGTTATTTAATAATAATTCAAGAGGGTTCATAAAAACTTCATAGCTCCATTTTTAAAAACTTTTCATAAGATAAAAAAACCGTTTTAAAAATATTGTGTGAATGATATAGCTTAACTTCAATAACATTGAAGTACCATGATACATATAATGGAGTAGGTATTCACTGATTCAAAAATTGTATTTTGTTTGTGCTGGCTAAATATAACTTAAATTGTATAAAGCTATCTGGTTTTTTAAGTAGAACTAGTTGCTATAAAAATATTTATTTTTTCTTTACATTTGAAAATAAATATCAATATTAGTATTTTTCAAATTTTAATGACTAGGTTTTTTCAAGTTTATATACTAATCTATAATGTCATATTTTTTAAAAAATAATAATAATAAACTTACACGCATGTTTGAAAACATTAAAAAAAAGATAGTCACTATTTCTGAGCGTGAAAAACTAGATAGGTAACTCCTTAAATTATTTCTTCTTTAAACTATTAATCTAATTGTAAGTATGGCACTACATACCAGTTAATATTAACTTAAATTTATTATTTTGTAACTAAGTACCTTATTATTATTATATTATAAAAGTATTTTTTAGAATATTCTTCTTTCAATAAATATGTTTTTTTTTCTTAAAATTGTTACAAGTAATATTAATAAATATAAAATAAATTTAAAATATTTTATTCAGTGGACGCAAAATTGTATGATTTTAAAAATATATGTGACCTTCGACAAATTTTACTCACTTAATGTGACTGGTCATCCCAAAGAGTCGGACGTTTAAAACAAATTTTGATGCGCAAAGAGCTATGCATTTTTTGCACGGACCCTTCTTCTATACCTACTAATCACTATGGATAATATTTATTAAGACAAATAAATTATTATATACTTTTATTATTTAAGAAATATAATAGCACAGAATAAGTTACGGTTGGTCTAAAAACTAATTTCTAACTGAGTTAAGATAAAGTTAAACAGTCCCCGATTCCATATTAAAAAAAATATTCAAAAATCAAAAAAAAAATAAACTAAATTTAAATTAAATAACTTACTCTTAATACTTACTTACTTTAGTAAGTCGGTTATTCTCTTATTATTATACATTGGATGATTGTAGTGATGAATACAAAAGTGCACTTTGAAACATAAATACCTACTAACTTAATTTTTTTTAATTTCCAAATTTTAAAATCAAAAATTAGATTTACATATTAAATTTTAACCGATATCATATAGTTACAAAGATTTAAAAACATAAATAGTATATATAATGTGAGATGTAGTTAGGAAAAATATAGTAGTTAGGTAAAATATAAACGTTGATAATAAACCTGTATTATACATGCCTATTAGTAAATAATAATTAAGTTTAAAAGCTAAGAATATAAGTTTTATGTATAGATAAAAATTGATTACTATAGTACATAAGTATAATGATAGTATTCAATTAGGTATAAAAAGTATATTAAAATGAATAATAATTAATGCATACTGTTAAGATTACGAATACCTAGGTACCCAATGTTAAGATTTTATTGATATATATATAGATATATGATTATAAATATTTAAAACAAAATTATTGGTCGTTATCGAATGAAAATATTGAATTTCGACCGATAATTATGAGATCTATTCGTAGCACAACATAGGTGGCAGGTATAAAATACGCAGTCATATTCCTTATCAGTGGCGCCAAAACTATTCTTCATGGTGTAACAGAATTTGAAATACAAACCCACAACCCGAAACATTAACAATTTATATAGATTTAAGATCTTAAAACCAATCTTTTTAAAAGTTTTTCTTTAAAACACTTTTTTCTCACGCTCCCAAATCTCAATTACTAGGGTTACCCATTCACCGACAATATAATGTTTAGCAAAAGATACACTGTAACTATAGTTTGGGTGCCACTGATAATTGATTTATCCCTTTATTATATCTGCCTATTAGTAAAGAGTAATCATTAAGACTAATTGCTAAGAATATATTTTTTCTATATGGATATTTNAACTAATAAAATAGACAGAATACTTATGGAGAATTAAAGAGATGACTGATGAAATCAACGGTTAAAGATCCAAAAAAGGCCATAAGCAAAAAAGGTTAGACCTATTAAGAGCAAATATTCCAAAGGTTACGCCTGAAATGGACCTGGAATCCAATGAAAATAGCGAAAGATCATAAGACCCTAAATGGACTCTATGAACGCAAAAAAAAAAATAAAAAATAAAAAAACCAAAAAAGTAAATCTAGTAAATAATAATTATTAGTGCTTTTAGCTAATAATAATGTAACATTACTAATTGGTATTAAGGTTAAATGAATATTTAATCATAATTATCTTTAAGATGATAATTATTTAATATTAAGTCTTTTTGACATATACATTGTTTTATTTGTTAATTAACTTTAAATTAAATTTAAGGGTCGTTTTCGAATTGAAATATTGAATTTCGATACATAATTTTGTAATGTTTTGTGAAATACGTAGAAGGTTTTTAAAATTTAGGCGTTCATAATCTTTATCAGTGGCACCCAAACTATAATTTTATGGCGTAGCAAATTTCTTAATATAAAACTACCACTTACCACAATTACATTTTATATAGATTTAAGATCTTAAAACCAATCTTTTTAAAAGTTTTTCTTAAAAACACTTTTTCCTAACGCTCCCAAATCTCGATTACTAGGGTTACCTATTCACCGACAATATAATGTTTAGCAAAAGATACACTGTAACTATAGTTTGGGTGCCACTGATAATTGAATTATCCCTTTATTATATCTGCCTATTAGTAAAGAGTAATCATTAAGACTAATTGCTAAGAATATATTTTTTCCATATGGATATTTATTTTTCTAACAATACACATAAGAATAATATAAGTGTCATAATATAAATTTTAACGCAGTTTAATGAATAATATTACGTACTTATCGTTAAGATGATGAATAGGTAATATTAAGGCCTTTATTTATATTTTTATTAGTTTTTTTCTTCATCATTTTTAAACCAAATAATTTGTAGTTTTAAAATGAAAATATTGAATTTCAACCCATTATTTTAATAGAAAATACCGAAAAAGAGCGAACAAGAATCTGTACAAGCTATTTCATAAAAAAAATATATTATAATATATAAATAACAAACTAATAAAATAGACAAAATACTTATGGAGAAATAAAGAGATGACTGATGAAATCAACGGTTAAAGATCCAAAAAAGGCCATAAGCAAAAAAGGTCAGACCTATTAAGAGCAAATATCCCAAAGGTTTCGCCTGAAATGGACCTGGAATCCAATGAAAATAGCGAAAGATCATAAGACCCTAAATGGACTCTATGAACGCAAAAAAAAAAATAAAAAATAAAAAAACCAAAAAAGTAAATCTAGTAAATAATAATTATTAGTGCTTTTAGCTAATNGAAATATTGAATTTCGACAAGTAGCAATGGTAGTAATTTGTGTACAAAGGTATTTATAATATAGGCGTTCATAATCTTTATCAGTGGCACTTAAACTATAATTTTATGGCGTAGCAAAATTCCAAAACAAAGAACTATTATTTACTAATAAAACATTTTGTATAGATTTAAGATCTTAAAACCAATCTTTTTAAAAGTTTTTCATTAAAACACTTTTTCCTAACGCTCCCGAATCTCGATTACTAGGGTTACCTATTCACCGACAATATAATGTTTAGCAAAAGATACACTGTAACTATAGTTTGGATGCCACTGATAATTGAATTATCCCTTTATTATATCTGCCTATTAGTAAAGAGTAATCATTAAGACTAATTGCTAAGAATATATTTTTTCTATATCAATATTTATTTTTCTAACAATACACATAAGAATAATATAAGTGTCATAATATACATTTTAATGCAGTTTAATGAATAATATTGCGTACTTATCGTTAAGGTGATGAATAGGTAATATTAAGGCCTTTATTTATATTTATATTAGTTTTTTTCTTCATCATTTTTAAACCAAATAATTTGTAGTTTTAAAATGAAAATATTGAATTTCAACCCATTATTTTAATAGAAAATACCGAAAAAGAGCGAACAAGAATCTGTACAAGCTATTTCATAAAAAAAATATATTATAATATATAAATAACAAACTAATAAAATAGACAAAATACTTATGGAGAAATAAAGAGATGACTGATGAAATCAACGGTTAAAGATCCAAAAAAGGCCATAAGCAAAAAAGGTCAGACCTATTAAGAGCAAATATCCCAAAGGTTTCGCCTGAAATGGACCTGGAATCCAATGAAAATAGCGAAAATTGAAAGATCATAAGACCCTAAATGGACTCTATGAACGCAAAAAAAAAAATAAAAAATAAAAAAACCAAAAAAGTAAATCTAGTAAATAATAATTATTAGTGCTTTTAGCTAATAATAATGTAACATTAATAATTGGTATTAAGGTTAAGTGAATATTTAATCATAATTATCTTTAAGATGATAATTATTTAATATTAAGTCTTTTTGACATATACATTGTTTTATTTGTTAATTAACTTTAAATTAAATTTAAGGGTCGTTTTCGAATTGAAATATTGAATTTCGATACATAATTTTGTAATGTTTTGTGAAATACGTAGAAGGTTTTTAAAATTTAGGCGTTCATAATCTTTATCAGTGGCACCCAAACTATAATTTTATGGCGTAGCAAATTTCTTAATATAAAACTACCACTTACCACAATTACATTTTATATAGATTTAAGATCTTAAAACCAATTTTTTTTAAAGTTTTTCATTAAAACACTTTTTCCTAACGCTCCCGAATCTCGATTACTAGGGTTACCTATTCACCGACAATTTAATGTTTAGCAAAAGATACACTGTAACTATAGTTTGGATGCCACTGATAATTGAATTATCCCTTTATTATATCTGCCTATTAGTAAAGAGTAATCATTAAGACTAATTGCTAAGAATATATTTTTTCTATATGGATATTTATTTTTCTAACATTACACATAAGAATAATATAAGTGTCATAATATAAATTTTAATGCAGTTTAATGAATAATATTACGTACTTATCGTTAAGATAATGAATAGGTAATATTAAGGCCTTTATTTAAATTTATATTAGTTTATTTCTTCATCATTTTTAAACCAAATAATTTGTAGTTTTTAAATGAAAATATTGAATTTCAACCCATTATTTTAATAGAAAATACCGAAAAAGAGCGAACAAGAATTTGTACAAGCTATTTCATAAAAAAAATATATTATAATATATAAATAACAAACTAATAAGATAGACAGAATACTTATGGAGAAATAAAGAGATGACTGATGAAATCAACGGTTAAAGATCCAAAAAAGGCCATAAGCAAAAAAGGTCAGACCTATTAAGAGCAAATATCCCAAAGGTTTCGCCTGAAATGGACCTGGAATCCAATGAAAATAGCGAAAATTGAAAGATCATAAGACCCTAAATGGACTCTATGAACGCAAAAAAAAAAAATAAAAAATAAAAAAACCAAAAAAATAAATCTAGATAATAATAATTATTCGTGCTTTTAGCTAATAATAATGTAACATTATTATTTGGTATTACGGTTAAGTGAATATTTAATCTTTATTAGCTTTAAGATGATAATTATTTAATATTAAGTCTTTTAGACATATACATTGTATTATTTGTTAATTAACTTTAAATTAAATTTAAGGGTCGTTTTCGAATTGAAATATTGAATTTCGATACATAATTTTGTAATGTTTTGTGAAATACGTNATTAAGGTTAAGTGAATATTTAATCATAATTATCTTTAAGATGATAATTATTTAATATTAAGTCTTTTAGACATATACATTGTTTTATTTGTTAATTAACTTTAAATTAAATTTAAGGGTCGTTTTCGAATTGAAATATTGAATTTCGACAAGTAGCAATGGTAGTAATTTGTGTACAAAGGTATTTATAATATAGGCGTTCATAATCTTTATCAGTGGCACTTAAACTATAATTTTATGGCGTAGCAAAATTCCAAAACAAAGAACTATTATTTACTAATAAAACATTTTGTATAGATTTAAGATCTTAAAACCAATTTTTTTAAAAGTTTTTCTTTAAAACACTTTTTCCTCACGCTTCCAAATCTCAATTACTAGGGTTACCCATTCACCGAAAAAATAATGTTTAGCAAAAGATACACTGTAACTATAGTTTGGGCGCCACTGATAATTGAATTATCCCTTTATTATATCTGCCTATTAGTAAAGAGTAATCATTAAGACTAATTGCTAAGAATATATTTNACAATTACATTTTATATAGATTTAAGATCTTAAAACCAATCTTTTTAAAAGTTTTTCTTTAAAACACTTTTTCCTCACGCTCCCAAATCTCAATTACTAGGGTTACCAATTCACCGAAAAATTAATGTTTAGCAAAAGATACACTGTAACTATAGTTTGGGTGCCACTGACAATTGAATTATCCCTTTATTATATCTGCCTATTAGTAAAGAGTAATCATTAAGACTAATTGCTAAGAATATATTTTTTCTATATGAATATTTATTTTTCTAACAATACACATAAGAATAATATAAGTGTCATAATATAAATTTTAATGCCGTTTAATGAATAATATTGCGTACTTATCGTTAAGGTGATGAATAGGTAATATTAGGGCCTTAATTTATATTTATATTAGTTTTTTTCCTCATCATTTTTAAACTAAATAATTTGT